TTGGATAGGATTTTTGGAGGCGCAGCTTCATGACCATCGATCCAACCAAGAAGAAGGTTGGCCTCGAGAGCAGTTTTGACATTGAGAGACCATGCAGGATAATTTGAATCAGTGAGCTTCTCTGGGATAAGATTATGGAGATTGCGGAGAAGAAGTTTGACGCCAGAAGGAAGCGAAGCAAGCGGATCTGAAGATTGAGCCATGGTTTCCGTTTATGGTCGACCGGCGAGAGGAAGGAGACCGGCGGTGAAGGCACAGTCTCGAAAAAAAGGGCTAGGGTTTAAACCTAGGCTCCGATACCATGATACAATTTGATAATAATTTGTCTTATTGAATATTGAGAGATATGTTCCTATATATAGGGATTACAAGAGAGAGTCCTATTCCTAGTAGGAAAGGAATAAAGTAATTATGGTAATACAAGAATAAGGAAACTAAATAATATTAGGAGTCTTCCTATTAAAATGATTTGTGCGGACAGGTTGGGTAAATGTCAAATTTCAGAAAATTAATCACAGGTGACCCAAGTTTTGTTGAAATAACTCTCAGGTCCCTCTATTTTTAAGAAGACAGCAGAGGTCCTTACATTTTGTTGTAATGACTGGAAGAGGACATTTCATCCAATATTTCATCTATAAACGTTAATAAATGTATTTTTTCTATTCTTTTTCTAAATGTTTTAAAATAATAAATCTTAGGTCGCTCCTTTTTTTATTTCTTTGTTTTTCTTTCATTTTGTTACTATTTTTTAAAGTGTTATTTTAGAATTTCTTCTATAAAATTGTATAAAAATTCAAAATTGTTTGTATTATATTAAAACAAATGAAATAAAAAATTTTAAAAAAAGAAAAAACAAGGTAATGGCAAAATAGGAAAAAAACGGTATTGGAAAAATAGGAAAAAAAAATACATTTATTAACACTTACGGATGATGTATTGGATGAAATGTCCCCTCCCAGTCATTACAACAAAATGTAAGGACCTCGGTTGTCTTTTTGAAAATAGAGGGACCTGAAAGTTATTTCGACAAAACTCGCGTCACCCGCGAGTAGTTTTCTGGTCAAAATTTGTCAAGCAAATCTTTTGAAGGTATATTTAATGAGGACTAGACCCCAACACGAGCCCATTTGGATATGGACTTGACATTTTAGGATACGGGATCAGGTTTTATAAACGTTGGTCCATAAACTTTAGATCTTGGCTCAAATTTTATGCACCATCCCACGGATCGCTCAGACCCGAATAAATAAAAATATTTATTACTCTTTCCGTCCACAAATAAAGTTCTAATTGCGCGTTACAATGTTTGACTGAAATTATTTTCAAATCATTTTATATGAAAAATGGAATGGAATTAAAAAAATTCAAATTACATATTTAAAAACTACATGAAAAGATCTACAAAACTAGTGGTGACATGACTATATTATTTTATCAAACAAGACACAAAAATAGGCCAACAAAGTGAATAAAGTTTTACCATGTAAATAGTGAACGGGAACTTTATTGTTTGACGGAGGGAGTATTATTATTATCATAAAATAATACTATCTGTAACACCCCAAAAATAGGCCTATCAGAGTTAATTAATTTATAATTAATTAATTACTGAGAAGGACCCAAAAATAAGTAAATTCTAAAGTTTGTCAACAAATAATGAAAATCATATCATTATGTAGAGTTTGACTGTCTGACCCCAACGGTTCAATCGGATTTCAATTTGGAGAAAGTTGGACCAAAAAGTGTACCCCGACTGGAACCAAAATTGGTCCCAATCAGGGACTTGCGTTATCGGCCGTCTGCTCTACTGAGACGCCAAAACAGGAGAACAACATGTCATCCCATGTCTTCTTCCCCTTCCCTTCTTCTATATAATGGAAACAAAAACTTCACCATTTCTTCACCATTCTTCATCAAATTCGTTCTGGGAGATAGCCTTGAGTGTGGAGAACGCAGTGGTGCTGTCAATTTGGTGTAAGGTCGCCGGAGTTGAGAACTATCGTCGCCGGAAGTTTCGCCGGAAAATTATCAAAACCTCCATTAATCTTCGAGGTAAGCCCGTAGATATATCTAAAGATTAGAATGTTCATATAGGTTGTTTTTACGTTCATAAATGGTCATTTGGTTGAGTTTTGTGTTCGACGTGTTTGAAGAACCAAGAATCATAAACCTTGAATTTGCTGTTAAAAATATGTTTTGATGATCCTAAAATGATCTATGAACCTTGGAGAACATTTCTATATAGTTTAATTGAAGTTTGGTAACTAAAATTGGTATTTCTGAAAATGAACCGAAGGAAGAAGACGATGAACAGTGACCAAAAATCGATTATTATCTTCCTAAAAATCGATTAAAACTTCGTTCAGACGAGATGTTTGAAGTCAGTACCCATTTATCAAGAACAAATCGATTATTCATAAAGACCAAATCGATTTTTAATATTTAATCGATTATTCCTAAAGCAAAAATCGATTTTTACTCATTAATGGATTATTTTTCAAGCAAAAATCGATTTT